AGCCTATTCCAGGCTATAGTAGACCGTGCTTCATTTTTCCATAACATTGAGTGGAAATAAAAATCTACACATCTGATTTTAAAACCTTTGAACTCCTTGATCAAATCTGATAAAATTCAGAGGATTCTTTTTGATATCTAGCAATGCGAAGGATACATGGATGGGGTGAAAAGTGATTTTTTTTTTCCTAACTTTGATTTTAAGGTCCAGACTTTACCACTGCATTAATCTTATCTTCACATTTTAGATTTTCTTTTTACTGTGTAGAGTCAAAAATAGCATGGAGAATAAAAGTATATTTATTATATGTTTGCTTATAAATTTTCATAGAAAATATGAAAGACAGGTTATTAATAGGTTTTACTTTAAAACTACAAACATTTCACGCTCTGGCCATATTGAAATTGCATACTTTTGTGTAGGTAATAGGTATAGTCTGTTTTGTTGTACAGCTTGTTTTGAAAATGAGATTTTGTTTCAACTTGATCGATGTATTAGGGAACCATGTAAGCATTACAGGAATTTCACGTTTGTTGATGGGCAATTTCATCAGCAAGAAACATTCAGTGAATGCAGGAAACCGTACCCTGATAATCCTCCTTGCACCACTTAATAACTCACAAGTGGCAGCTCATCCAATGCCCACTTCCATCAGTAAACTTCAGGTGTTTTTCAAGACAAAGCGCCATATTGTACTATTTATGTATTACTAGGCATCTCTGGGGAGCCCTGGTGGTACAGTGGTTAAGCGTTTAGCTGCTAACCAAAAGGTTGGCAGTTCAAATCCTTAGACACCCTATGGGGCAGTTCTACTCTGTCCTATAGGGTCGCTATGAGTAGGAATCAACTCAACAGCAATGGGTTTTAGGAGTCCCTGGGTGGTGCAAATGGTCAACATGCATGGCTGCTAACTGAAACCTTGGAGGTTTGAGTTCACCCAGAGGCACCTCAAAAGAAAGGCCTGCAATCCACTTTTGGAAAATCAGCCACTGGAAACCTACGGAGCCCAGTTCTACTCTGACACATACGGTGTCACAATGAGTTGGAGTTGACTCAAGGGCAACTGGTTTTACATGTTACTTAACCATTTAACATGTGTAAAAACTGTGCTACCATTTTTATTAAGTTCCTGTCTTTTTTCTTTTCAATGTGTAACTGACAGAGTTTATAATGTTGTGCCCCAACCTACTTTTCCCATAAGCCTTGTGATTTTTATTGCATGATTTTATACAGTGGTGAGCTTTAGGAAGGCCTGTGTAGTAGTACAGTAGAATTGACTGTTTTTATTTAATTTGAAATAAAATCATTTCTTTGCCTAGATGTGCCTTGTGTCATTAGGGCTGGTTGCTCTTGAGTCCATGACCCCCAAGAGTGAATTCTGTGATTATAAAGCTTACTAGAAAAATACTAATTACTTTGCACATGGTAATAAAATAAGTTTTTGGATTGTATTACCGTAAGTAAGTGGAAAGAACAAGAGTATTATAGAAATGGATGTTGATAACTGGAGAGCTTTGCATTCTAATACAGTAGCTTCTAGCCACACGTGGCTACTTAAATTTAAATTAATTAAAATTAGATAAAATAAAAAATTCCTCAGTCACAGCAGCCACATCTCAAGTACTCAACAGCCAATGTGGCTATTGGCTACCATATTGGGCAATACAGACACAGACATTTCCATCATCACAGAAAGCGCTATTGGACAGCTGATTTAGGGAAATTGAAAAGCACTTCAAGGTTTTTGTCTATCAGAAAGCCCTCTAGTCAAATCCATTGGTATTAAATAAGCATTTTAAGATAAAATTTTCCAAATGTTTTGTTTTTGCTAAGGTGTCATCTAAGCAACCTTTCACGATCCCACATAACACGAGGCTGGAGAACATAGGTTTATTTTCCTGTGTGCTCTGTGAAACCCCATGAACCTGAATTCATATAAAGTCCTTTAAATTAAAGACAATGTATACATATTGGGGCCCACCTCTTGATTTGTTAGTACTGTATTTGAAATTAAAATGTAAGTGTAAATGTATGATTTTCTGCAGGTTTGCAGACTTGGGACACAGTGTTGTCGGTGTGGAAATCAGTGAACTTGGGATACGGGAATTTTTTACAGAGCAGAATCTCTCTTACTCAGAAGAGCTAATCACCCAAATCCCTGGAGCCAAAGTATTTAAGGTTTGTTTTGTTTTTGTTAAATCCAGAGTCTCCAGTCGTTTCTCTCAGCCTGCGTGAATGAGGATATTAGACAGGTATCATACGGCCCCTCTGTATCACACATATTCACCTAGACATATAGTGCGAGGAATTGGCCTTAAAAATATACATAATAGACAGGCAGATATGGATACCTATGGACAGATATGTACCCATATCTGTCTGTCTGTCTATATATGTGTGAAAGCTGAAACGAAAGACTATCTGTACTCCTGTTTTTTTGTTTATTTGGTTTTTTTCATTTATGAACATGCATTTTCTGAGAACTGACCTTGTGCCAGGCCAGCATAAGACAAGGAAGAAATAAAGATAACACAGTCCCTGCCCTAAAGAATCTCTGAACTTAGGAGAGAAGAGAACGTGGAAAAAGCCATTGGTAGCACACGGAGCTAAGCGTCATGACGCAGGGTATCTCGGGCACGAGGAGGAGTGTTCCCTAACCCAGTCTGGGAGGCCTTCCTGGAACATGAGGACAGATGGTGCTGGAGGCAGGCAGGGTCAGGTCCGCGGCCCTGGGTGTCCTGTGAAGCCTGTACTTCGTCCTGCGCAGTGAGGTTTTAAGTAGGAGCGTGACATGGCCAGATTTTTTTTTTTTTTTTTGAGAAAAACCATCCTTGTGACCTCATAGGAAGTAAATTTGAAGGGAATCAGGCTCATGGTGTCCCTGGGTGTTGCCAGTGGTTAACGCACTCGGCTGCTCACTAAAAGGTTGGTGGTTTGAGTCCACTCAGAGGAAAGGCCTGGCAATCTGTTCCCAAAAAATCAGCCATTGAAAATCCTGTGGAGTACAGTTCTACTCTGACACACACGGGGTTTCCATGAGTTGGAGTCCACTTGACAGCAACTGGTACGGGAGGTTTGGTATGGTATGGTATGGTATGGTAGGTACGGTACGGTATGGTAGGTATGGTATGATACGGTAGGTGTGGTATAGTATGGTATGGTATGGTATGGTATGATACGGTAGGTGTGGTATAGTATGGTATGGTATGGTATG